ATGAGCCGACAATCACTTTGCGCCTGCATCCCGCGTAGAGACACGAGACCACTCGCATTGCCACTTATAACACTTCCAAGAGGTGTCGCACCTGTGAGAGGTTGATAAGTAAAGGCGGTTATTTTTTCACAACTAGGGATGATAACGAGTATAGAGTATAGGTCTTGTTTTTTACAGCATATTTTTACTTTTACAAACTCATTGATTCTTTTCTTCCTACGAACCAACCGAGTTTGGCGAGCCCACGCCAATACTCATTTAGACACCGCAAACGATTTTTCAATCCACAAGAAAACTACGAACATTGGCCAGAAAACTTGCAAAAGATATCATCTCCTATACAAGAGCTAACGACGTTTTGATTTTTTTCTGTTTCTAATGCATCACTATTCCACGAAAAGCTACTTCCATGTCGCCATTAGATCGTTTGAATATTCAATTGAAAGTAAACCCTTTTGGACGTCCTCACCTTCTTTTTGAAAATTCAAATGATGTACAATTTGTTCCAAGTTACTTTTTTCTTCCCTATGTCTTCTTAAAATTACTTCCACCTCTCCTTGCAACACCTTCGTTTCCTTTAGCAACGAAACTCTTTCTTTACGAAGTCTCCGATAACACACTCTTTTCGTTGAGTTGGCAAGATTTGCGCCATCCAAAACATATTCCTGACAAAGGGGCGACCTCGACAGCCTGTCTTGATCTGTTTTTAAATATTTTGCACCCGTATAAACGAGCAAACTGCTGTGTTTCACATCGAAATACATTTGCGAATGGTTTTCCTGTAAGATTACTCTCGGCATATCTATTATGCAAGGCGTGAATCTTTCATAAATTTAGCACGCAGTGAATTGTAGAGATGTGCATCCTTTTTCTTAAGTAGCATTATTTTATACAAAAAATGAAGGGGTTTGTTTGTCTGGCCGTCTCTGGGAGCCAAATCACCGGTTTTTCGTAAATACGTACACTGAAATTAGCACCCGAACCCTTACGCAGATGCAAATCGTACCGCGAATGTGTTTTTCTTTACACCTCATAGACTTAATAATAATACGAGCAATTAGTTTGTTATTTCCCTTCTAAGCTAGAAGACACGGTACTATTAACAAAAATTAGATTTTTTTTGTCAAAGTGACTTACGCAGTTTAGATAAAAATAATGATTAAAAATAAAAACAGGTATAAAAAGTTACAGACTGAAACAGAAACAGTCGGAAATATCGACTATGCCTCTCGCAAATTATTTTTATGGTTAAACGCTTCGCGCCAGGCTTCGCACATCTCCTTAAAAAATCCATTCTCGCAGATTAAATAACCATGAGATTCCGCTTGTAACGCAAAAAATAACACTTAAAAGTTTTTAGTGTTAATCTGTTAATAGCGATATCGGTGAGACACAAAGGTGAGTGCATAATCATTTGTGTTTTCAAAATTATTAGTAGGTAAATTGCTTGTTTAGATGTTCATACGGTATTACTGAGACCAAAAAATTTAAAAGCTTTCTTAAAGAAAGGCCATTAAAAATTTTTATCTTGCCTAATGTTGTGGTTCCAATTACTTCAACAGAACCAATAGCATGGCAGTAATAACTTTCCTGAGTTGCAATTTGAATTTCATCATTGATCACGTTTAAGTTAAGGCTAATTTGTAATTGCAGACTGACAACTGTCGAGACTTATTTGTTGTGTATCAGTAAGACATTTAGTGAGAAAAATCTCAAAATGTCTTCTCGCAATATTCTTTGCGAAACAGCCATGAATTTTTAGACTGTGTTAAAAGTTGTCCCGCACCATCGCCCTTTCTTAAGCGAGAGTTTCTCATAACGTCATCACCCCTAATCCGGGATATCGTAAATCAGTTTGTTTACATTCAGTGTACAGAAGCAAGGTTGTTGCTAACTTCAAAAGTCTTCAATAAACCGTACACTGCTTTCTATTCGTTCTGCGGAAGGTGACAATTCAAGGCGATCACAAAGAAAAAAGTTTCCATTTTGTGATGATGATTAAAAGATTATGTCCAGGGTGATCTGATGATCTGAAAATGATTTGAAAATCTTATGCTTTCAACCGCGTATGACAAATTCAGAATTGCAGTTTCCTGCAGGATCAGAATGATTCCATGATCTGGATCAAATCTCAAGCTTGTAACCACACGCATTGTCCGAATCCGTCTTTTGATCAAAATGTGCCCGCGTTAGTAAAGCGTCAAAAAGCTGTACAGCTAAGATGTGCAATGAAAACGAAGGAATGACTGTATGGCACTTAAAAAAATATTTCATCATCCTAAAGCATTAGTTTAACCGCTTCCATACGGAGTCTTGTCGCATGGGGAGGGTTGGAGAGAGTTCAGGGCAAACTTTGAACAACTTTGCATAACTAATCGATTTTTATCTTCACCTAAAACTCAGGCTTGGTGGATACCTTCAACAACGTGTATTTTTTGGTAGGAAAAACCTAAGCTTTTTAATAGGGAAACTTAAAACCGGAGTCTTAAAGTCTCGAAATTACTTTAAAATGAGTGGCTACCATTGCGTGATCTTCTATAAAAGCGGCAATCTTAGTGCAAAAACTCATCAAACGGCTGTTCTGTTGTAGTTAATCGGTGGGAATAAGTAACTAAATTAAGTCGCACTACAGTAGTACACCCCCCTCCCTGCAGCATTTGGTGACAATCACACGGGAGACCGGAACATTGGAAAAGGGGCTTTAAACCGTTCCGTTTTCACTGTGAAAACCCTTGTTAATGAAACCATGTTTTTGATTGAATATAAGTGATTAATTTAGTTATGCAAATTGTTATAAAGGATTAACTATTTTGGTAAAGGTGCTTTACGAATCAAAATTAAGTGGTGTTTTTTGGGATGAGTTTTAGGGCAATCTAGAATTAAGGCTGGGAAGCGACGCAAAAGACACTTAAAGGCTAGTTTAATTCACAAGTGGTGTTCCCAAAAAGTACCTTCGAATATAATTAAATGCTCAGAGTAACTCGTGAATGATCTAATTTGAGTACGCGATTTACTCTGGCGGTAAATTTTACCTGTTCTCTGTAGCTGAAGATTGTACAAAAACCACTGTAGATTACGCTTGTTATCTTCATATTCTTTGATGTTGTTCTCGCTGGTTTTTTGCAGATTTCCTATCGTAAACTGCAGCGAACCAAACTCACGGCGATCCTTACACAAAAAAGAGCGTTTGGCTGCTTTTTTAACTCTAAATATATCGACAGCCTCTTCTCTAAAGCGACTTTCATTTAACTTTGTTATCTGCACGGTAGTTACCGTTGACAAAGACATTTTCTTTAATGGGAGAAGTTTCAAATAAGAGTTTTGTTTATGATGCATCAATGATATAATTTTCGTTCCGGCAAATGCAATTAAAGTCAAAGTTAATGGGCACATAAATACACCGAAACAATCATAATGTGTTTGAATGGTACTTCAAAACCCTCCCTAACAAAGGCAGCTGTTTTTTTTTTTTTGTTTCAACTGAACAAAACAAAATTTAAATCCGTGATTTATGAACAAAACAGGAAACTTAAAAGATATTTTTTTGTGCCTCGCTTTCCACAAAATGTAATCATTCAAGCCATAAAAGTCTAGACTTTGTTTTGAGTTTACTCAATAAAATAATTCGTTTTCATGTTGTAAATACAATTTTGTTTAATTTTAATTAATAATCCTTCACCTATTTTAGTTTTACGTCAATGAAACAACAGAAACGGCTATTTTTTATTTCAATTCGTAATAAATTTCAGACAGTCTTAATAAATGTTAACTAACAAGAATGTTAAGGTAAGTGAATAAGATTCTCAGTTCGTCGTTTAGGTGAACGTTGCTCAAATACTATGAGCTTCTTCGGTTTAGGCTCTTAGTGAAGCTTGATTTCGGTCCAGCGACCAAGCTGTCATTAGCTGGAAGCTTGTTTCTCCGCCCGTGGGAAGATTAGAGACGAGTCGGGGAAACAATTACCTGGGGCCTGGCATTATCAGTGTTAATCCTCTTGCAGACCTTTATTCGGCTCACTTTGCTCAAGGCCTTATACATATTTTCCCCCAAGCGAAGAAACACTCGTGCCAAAGCGCTTATAGTAAGAGCCCGCTAACGAGCTAGTTTTCTCCGACTTCGTTCCAGGGTCTCTCATCTTCCCTTCTTTTCGAGCAAGAGGGAACTGTGACAAACATTTCAAATTAAGTACCCTCTCCCCATTAGGAACGTTCACACTGGGAGGTCTTGGTTCTAGTTCAGAGCCTTGTAGGGGCAGCTCAACAAACATGGCGGGCACGTAAACAAAGTGGTGTTGAAAAGCTAGGATCACCATAGTCAAGTAGTTTTGCTACTCAGCCTTCCGTGAAAATAGCTTTCAGAACGAGCATAGCAAACGGACAACCGTTCAAGTATTATGGTTTGCCGCGGGACCCTGAAATACACGCTTCTTACACCAGAATTCTTCGGATTTCTGTTGTAAACTAGTATTCTGATAATATTTGTGCAGAACATTGGAACCGTGAATGCAGAAATACACCTGCCGATTTGCCCGGAAAATAGACGCGAAAAGTTGTAAGCTCAGCAAAAGGGAAAATCATCTAAGCTTAACAAGCGGAAAGTAGATGAGCTTGGCAGCAAAGTTGTTCTAGCCTGCGGCAGATCGCGTAGTTGATCAGTGTTCAAAATATTATAAAACAAGCGAGAACTGAAAATCTCAGAAGGAACGTATGAAAGCAATCCTCGCAGTAATGAACACACTTATGTAGTAGTGGAATTAAGGCCTGAAAAAAATTCAGGCCCGTAAGGGATTTGAACCCATGACCTCTGCGATACTGGTGCAGTACTCGACCAACTGAGCTAACAAGTCAACTGCGAGCTGATTATTATGAATCAATGAATTTGAATATATGGGTTTATTACGAATCAACATTGCACCGACTTACAGAGGGGAGAAGCCATTATGAATCCGAGAATAAAAACCCAAGCGAACGTGAGTCAACGCTGCGCTGGGCAGATAAATATAGAGTTTACAAGATTTAATCTAGCTTAACCTTGTATAATACAAGTATAACTTACGACTGAATGAATAACTTGTCAATTTAAGGACACGTAAGTGACGAAATCAAATGACATCGATACTCTTATTTACAGCAAACAACTTCTGTGAAGGATAATCGGTGATTTCGCACACGAGTCGTTTCGCTAACGACCAGTTTAGTAACGTCTTCGGTCGTTGGGCTAACTTCTCATTGATCGTTTTGTTAACGTATTATAAAACGTTCAGTGATTCCATCGGCAGAACACCGCTGCCCAACTCCTCAAGATTTGTGCGCCCTCACGGTTCAGCTCGTTCTCAAGTATTTGTTAAGAGCTTAGGTTTGTAATAAAATGTAGTATTAGATGCGTAATTGTCCCCTATTCCTACTGTCCATTTCCCCTCCAAGTTGCTAAGAGAATTTGATGTTATATCGAGATAAAAGCTCGGGAGTAAGAATTTATTCATTCTCATCACATAGTGGACGTTGAGTTATGTTTTATTTTTGTGATAAGAAGAAGAGAGTCCAGAGGCTAAGAAATATAGTTGGTTTTATCAATGCCATTCAAAGTCTTGTCTGGTTTTGAAAATTTCCGAGGATTACTTGATTCTAATTCGTTGTTGGCCATTTGGTTTTCCTTTTCATCATCATCTTCATTTTCCTCCACACTTTTATCAGAATCTTCATTTTCAGATTTGTCCGTTTCCGAGGCTGGAGATGAATTTTGTTCCTCTTCTTCGTCCGTGAAGTTCGCAGGTTTTTGCTTAGGCGATGAATCCGACCGTATTTTACCTTCTTTCATGTCTCTTTGTATTGGAATGTCGTCAACAGAAGACGTTTCATCTCGATCTTTAGCCGAGGGTGAAGGATTCTCGCGATCCTCTTTTGCTGGGAGACGAGAATTTTTTATCTCTTCATCGGAGTTTTTGATGCTTAATTGCGACTCTTCATACTGCCAAGCTTGCGCCTGAAACTGAGGTGTTTTGTCCGCTACTTGACTCAAATTGGAATCATCCTCTATAACTTCAACATCATCTTCAATTTCTTTGACGTGGGCCTCATCCTTGTTTGAAACGTGAGAATTCTCGATGGAAGTCTTTGTGTCTTTTACCTCCTGGAGCACTTCCTCTAGGACCTCTTCCGCCGGAAGTAGGTCTAATGGCTTTTCTTCCTTCGTTTGATGGCTATCCCTTATTTCAGCTGCTTTTTCTTGCTGCAAACCACTCGCTTTGAACACGCTGTCAGCTACTAAACTATCATCGTTGTCAGTTTGTTTTATCACCCGAGCAGTGTACTCTTGAACGGGAGTATCGCCTTCGAGTTGTGCAGGTGGTGAAGCAGAGATGGTGAAACTATCTTGGATGTCTTGTGATGCACGTAGTAATGAAGTGGCCACTGGGAGATCTGGGGACACGTTTGAGATGACGTCACGCGGTGACTCCACGATCATAGTGGTGACACTTGACTGATTGCCTCTTGAGTGTTCAATTGATTTGCTTTGCGCGTTGGTTTTTGTGACCTGCGGTTTTCGTTTTGAAATCTTTTTATACGATCGTCCTATTGGGTTGGTTAGTTGTCCGTTGCCGATCATAGGCAAGAAAGGCCCACGCGGACTTTTAGCGAGTAAAGAGGAAGCAGCACCGTAATTCACTCGTTTAAACATCCTCCCTCGTTCAACAGCCACGTAATTTTGTCCACTGATCAACTGGGAAGGAGTAAAAATCAGCTTACCATCTATTGTGTACAATACAATTGCAGCCGCTAGGAAAACGTGTTCTTGCACAATTCCTAAAATTTGTTCCATGCTTTGCTGAAGGCGTTTTTGAAGAACAATCTTGACGCTCGGTTTGAACACGTCCCCATTACAAAACACGTGGATGATCTTTAGGTCTCTTTTCGCCCACTCATAATCCATCTTGTGTCTCCCCTCAGCCACGATGATTGCTTTCTTGGGCGAATTGTTCGCCTTTCGCGGAGGGCGAGGCTTTCTTATGCCCAGATCTGCATAGTTCAGTTTTTTAAAACACTCCCTCCCAGCAGCCACGTAAACGCTCTTGTTTTTAATATTCTCCAAGCTCTGAACCGGACGCCCGCCGATCGGTGTACATATTTTTCGCACGGCGTTAAATGCCGAAATGTGCATCGTTACCTCGTCATACAGAGCCTCCATATTGCGTATGTGGCGTCTGTTGATAACAAGTGTCTTCCCAAGAAAGTTGGGGTTACCATTCTTATAGACTTTGACGGTCACTGTTGGACTCAACGACCACGCTGTTGCCGCCATTCTGGGTGCCTATCAAGAATAGTTTCAACAACAGTTTTTAACCCTTTACAGCCTTACAGCATCACTACACATATTCTCTTTACTGTTCTCGATACATTTCCTGAGATGCTGACAAAGAGAATTTGTTTTACAAGAGCTTTTATAGTTGGTGATCATCTCCTTTATTCACACTACCTTATTCTCATCTCTTTAGTAATTGGTTAGAAGAAAGTAAATGCTAGTCACGCAAAGGTTTAAAGGAAAAACAATTGGAGAAAGCTCATCGGGCAAAGGGTACGTCCTTAAGCCTACAGTGAACTATGAGCAGTGAGTACAATGGTACAAGAAGATATAACCGGCCTACACTATTCCATGGTATCTGAATATTATTTATTTGGTTCAGAGGGCAGTTAAGTTTATTAAATAAGCTGATAAATATTTAGGGATTTTATCTGAGCAAATTTGCTGTGTTTTCTTGCGTGTAATTTGCATTTTTCAGCGTTTATACTTTTTTTGATGACAGAACATGTCATAATGTTGTTGAGATTAATCCAGCTTTGTCAACGTGATTGACAACTACTATGCGGCTGCCGTAAGGTCAATATTTTTACGTTCCTTGATCTCCAAGTAAAGTTCAACCAGAACAAAACAAAGCGAAAGAGTTTGAAAATGTAACCCTACTTTCGTCTCAATTTCGTGAAACATTTTAATCTGGCAGTGATTTTTATTTACCTCTAGGAGCATAGGACATTTTCAAATAAGGGCTTACCCTATGTAAGGTTTTGCGTGTCTAACTTTGCTGATGTCGCAAATTTCCAATACTTTTGAGAAAGCGAGAGGGGTGCAAACAGCAGATGGTTCCAGAAACAACTAATCAAACATGAGCTAGATTCTGTCATCAAGTGCCTATGCTTTCAGTGTGTTTTTTTAGATTTATAAATGGAAAAACCCCGATAGCAATAACGAGTAGATAAATGTGAATTTGTTGACTTGCTAAACGATGAAATGGATATTATTTTCCACTAGACCCACTATGGAGTCAAACATTCCGTCATCAGGTGCCTATGCTTTCGGTGTTTTTTTAGATTTATATTAGAAAAATCCTGACAGCAATAACGAGTAGAAAAAGGTGTTTACTTGCTAAACGATGAAATATATTATTTTTCACTGGAGCAACTATGGTTACACGTCCGTATAAGCGGCAACCTAAGCGGTTCTTTTTGCGATTATAAAAGCTTACTTGTCTATAATTAGCAGAATGTGACCACACAATCTTACCTTTTGCGACTGAGAGGCGCTGAGCTTTTGTTCTCCCTTGTCAACTGGTGTTTTGAGATTTCCTTGCGTCAATCAAATAAAATCTGTATACAAAAACAAGTGAATTACCATACGGCCATGTAAAAGTTTTGAATTCCTGATGGAGGTGTAATGTTCCTTGGCGATACGCTAATCGAAATGACCTTCGTTCTGCTAAGTGCATCAATTGACGAAGCGGTTCGAACATCAATTCTCAGTAAACGTCAAACTGATAGGCCACCCTTTTCGGAGGCAGAGCATCAATATTCAAGTATGCTGCCCAATTTTTTTTATGAAAATAAGACAGCGAAACTTTATATCAGATCATAAATCAAGAAAGAAAGACTTAAGAACTCAAGAAAGCATACGACTCAATTATTTTCACGCAAATTCGATTCGATGTCCTTCTTGACTTGTAAACATCGTGCAATTTTTAATTTCACCCAAAGTAAATTTCTTGGATTTTCGCTTCTTCGTTCAGTAATGCTGCTTATTTGATACACAAAAGTGTTCAAGGTTCGCCCCTGTCGCGGCTGAATTAGAGAGCCATCCCGACTAAATTCTGTAAAAGCGATTTTGAATTATGTCCTGAAATGTTGAATTTTTTTTATTTTATAAGTGTACGTTTCGAAGGACAGCTGAAATGTTGTACTGATTCGGTGAAGATGAAATTCAACCCTACATTATGAGAAATTTTTCAGACAAACTTACCTTTTTAAGTTTTGCCCTTTTTTTCTGTTCTTGATTCGCGAGTAGAAGAAGTCGTTTTTAATAAATTTTGATCATACTAATCGTTCAAATAGAATTTTAAACCCCTTGTTGCAAATAGCGTATGTATCCAACATGGCTGACACGGCCGTAGCTTTCAAAACAACTGCCTTATGGAAATTTGCGATCAATTTTAAATGATGGTCGGAGGATTAATTGTTTACTTGTGACAAGAAATGAAAATAAAAAATCAGCTCAATGTCTTTCCTATGTTAAGTTGATTTTGCTCGAGGTCCGCCAATACCACCTTTGAAAGCCAAATCTGAAGAGTAGACGGTTTTTTCTTCAACTTATTGGCAGTTGATTGTAACGTAACTCATTGTAAAGGAAAGAAAGAGTCGTGTTTCTAAGGTTACGCGTACATAGCAACTTGCTATTGACAGAGGGAACATTTGCACTGCTAAAGTAACAAAGAATTATAATTGCAACTGGCTGTAAATGAAAAGATGTTTATCTTATAAGGTGTGAACACTTTGAAAATAACGCTATCATAATACCTCTTGTGATTTATGTAAATTTGAAAGTCGTTTTCCGAAAAAATTATCAAAAAACAAATGCCTTTCTTTTCTCGACATTTTTTCGTCTGCATTATGTTTCCTTTCTTTTTTCTTTGTGGTTTGACAGCAAGGGAGAACTACAAAAGATGATCGAAAGATTAGAAAATTAACATCGGTCTCCTTGTGGAGAAAAAAAATGTTGAAGGCACTGAGATGTTTTGGGGTTTAAATGCAAGTTTAATGGTACAAAGTGAACGTTCTCCTTATCAGTGTCCAAATCATTTGATGCAGTTGTGAAAATTAATCTTGAAACTGACTCTTTTGTCTGAACATGAGCAATATTTGAAAAAGCATTTGTCATAGTAAGGGATATGATGTTTCACTCACTGCCTTCCGTTTGTTGCTATGATAATTTATGGCTAGTCAACTTAGGTGTAACGGGTATCGTGTGTTGCACTCTTCCTTTCAAATGTTTGACGGAAGCAAGTCGCTCTACAAGCATATCATCTCTCAGGAAGAACATTTTTGGACTCGTTCACGTAGCCGTCAACGTCAAAGTGACCTTGTTCTTCAACGTTCTCGACCAAGTTTTTTCCGCTGGATTTTGTCCAGTCCTAAGTCGAAAACAGCTGACCATTGAGACTATTCTTCACAGGCGGTGGTATTGTAGAATGGCCTCTTAAACGCCTCTTTTAGACATTCAACAACATCTTTGGTTCACTCAGGATAACTGAGTGATTTTTTTTTTTATCTTATGGATGCCTTTAGAAACCTCCCAATTAAGAGAACTCTCCCTCTTATATTTCATCGATCTGCTTCTCATCGCTCTCTCTATTTCGTCCGCGTAACCTGCGTCAGTCAACTTAAATGATGTTGTAGACGGACCGTGCGAAACTATCCTCCTTTAAATCATCCTTTGACTGAATGAGGTATTTGCTTCCACATGTTGGTAATTTTGAATTTCTCTGAGTGTCCCTAATGCAAGGAGTGAATAACTACGTTATACTCATCCTTGGTTCATTTTTTGTTGAAGTGGCGACCTCCTTCTCGTGTGAATCGGACAGTTTCGTCTAGTCATCTGCTTTCCAGCCTTGATTTCAGGTTGTGTATGGTTCAATCAGGGTATCCATTGCCCGTTAAAGCGTCTTTATGTGTTTTTTTAAGCGTCCTAATGTACTGACCTCCTTGTGTCTGTCATTCAGTTGAAGTCACTCACAGTACTATCTACGATTCTCATCGCTACAGCAAACCTCTTATCGCTTGACTCTATTGACCCGGAGCTTGCTTAAGGCAACTCTTTCCTCGGCTTGCGTATGTATGCGGATGCAAACTGTTTCCCAGTTCTGAATCAGTGCAAACGCAGAGGGCGAAGTACGCACGTAGGTCACAACAAGATTTTCTCAACTATATAGGTTACCATGTTGTCTTGCCTAAGGTGCTATGCTGCGCATACTCAGCTCAAATATGTCAAAATTAACCACTGAACAGGAAAGATGAGTCAATATCAGATTGTAAGTTAAACATTCTCTACTTGAACAGCGTAAAATGTCGGAGAATCATAGTATTTCCCAATAAATGATTGGGGTAAGAATTCCAGCACAGCCGGCAATTTAGATAAGGCAATAATCTGGTCCTGATATACTACTAACGATAAAAGCTTTGGCAAGTTGAACACGAGATTTTTTGATTTGATTAGAATTGTCGATTCTTACGAATTTAAGCAATTATATACGCGAATCAAGAGTCAAATTTAATGTCCTTAACTTCTGTACATAATAGACGACTCTAATAAGATGAGAGTGCAATCGTAACTCTGGGGGTTCTTGTAAGCCCGAGTTCCCTCGCACCAAGGCGTAATTGACACTTCCTCCAGTTCAGCGAGATCCACGAGCCAGATTTCTTCTAGCTGCACTGATGGAGATATCTCGATATTTCGTGGTCTGTCTTGAACAGAGTGTTTAGTAGAAAGGTATTTTCATTATTGTGTGTCTTTCCAGATTGTCCTGTACTCCGTGTAGTAGGGGCCTTAGTTCCAAACATACATTTCATGGTTTCTTCGATCTTTGCAAGCTTGCTCGTTATACCGTGTGCACTTGGTACAAATATATTGAAGAGTGTCTCTCCACCACCATGGATGGGCATAACGACAACGACTTGTCGCTCTTAGGTCATCAGAACTTTGTCCTGTGGGAATCTTGCACACTAGCGCCATGATGAAGTCTTTCTGCTTTATCTACGAATTTGGCTGGAAATATTTGTTTTTTATTTCCTTGGGTTCCTTGTGCGCTTTTCAATTTGCGACCTTTTTGAAGGCAACAAACTGCAAGCTCCGCCTTATCGCTGCGTGGTTGACGCTTTCGCCATCTGCTTCTCTGGTCTTTCACTTCTGTGTTTCAGTCAGTTTCCTCCAGTCAGTCACGCCTGACGATGTGCGAAAAGTCGTCTTAGACATGCCTACCAATAAGGCACCGGGCTTCGATAAAGTTCCCATTTCGGTGGTTAAGGACTGCCTCGAACACATTCTTCCAACGCTGACTGACCTAATAAACTACTCTTTCTCAAGTTCCGTATTTCCGTTAGCGTGGAAAAAGGGTGAAGTAGTCCCACACCCAAAAGAGGGTGATCATGAGGTGGCGAGTAACAACCGTCCCATCTCGCTACTGCCAGTCCTCTCTAAGGTAGCGGAGAGAGTTGCCATGCGTCAGCTCAATGATTACTTGGCATTGCATAATCGATTGACCACACATCAAAGTTGAAACGGAAACGCTGAGCTTATTAGTGACGGACGACATCCTCAGAGCGATGGATAGCAAGCAAATAACTGCAACGGTTCTAATAGACTTGAGTAAAGCTTTCGATAGTCTCTCTCATTCTACCCTGCTCAGCAAACTCCAACTGCTCGGCACCTCAGGGAATGCACTCCACTGGTTCAAGAGCTACCTGTCAGATAGACGGCAGTGTACTCGAATTGAAACATCATTGTCGGATCCCCTCACGATAACTCATGGGGTACCTTAAGGGTCCATCTTAGGCCGGATGCTGTTTACACTCTATGTGAATGACCTTCCAACGGTAACTAAGTTCAGTAACATCGAATCCTATGTGGACGACACTAAGATCTACTTATCGTGTGCGTCTAAAGATATCCACTCTTATCTAAAACAATTCGCTGAGGATCTTGAAAGTATTGCTGGCTGGTGTTGCGCAAATTACCTGCATATAAACCCGGATAAAACTAAACTTGTGCTCTTAAGAACGCGGCAGCTTGTATTAAAGCTACCTGACGTCACTGTACCCTTTCTTGGACAGCAACTATACTCTGTCTCTTCCGCTTAAGACCTGGGTGTTTCCCTGGACTCTGGCTTAACATTCACTAATCACATCTCATCATTATCGTCATCTTTGCTATCTAGTTTGTGTAAAATAAGTAGGGTTCGCCACCTGTTCTCCAAAGAAGTTCTTTATATAATGATTAACTCTATCGTGTTTAGTCAGCTATTCTATTGTTCTACTGTATGGTCTGGTACTTACAAACAGAATATCCATAAACTACAACTTATGCAGAATTTTGCCGCCCGTATACTAACCTACACAAGGAAATACGATCAGATTACACTGGCCTTGAAAGCTTTTGGCTGGCTAACTATAGAGGAGCAACTCCAACTGCGTGACGTGACAATGATGTACAAATGTGTTAACAATTTAGTGCTGGCATATATTAGCTGTAAAATAGGGAAGCGATCAACTTTGCACGCTTACAATCTCCGCAATAGTGAAGATCTAAACTTGCCAAACTGCCGAACAGCGGCTGCCCAGCGTGGTTTCTTTTATAGAGCAGCAAAAGCGTGGAATAGCCTCAGTAACAAAACTAGAACTGCTCAATCACTAAGATCATTTAAAAAGCATGCAAAGGCAGAATTAGCGAAGAAATAGGGTACTGGTATCTTAATATATAACTATAGAATATTTCATAGTGTTAGTTGTTATGATTGTTACTTTTAGTACTAATTTTAGGTTATTTCTATATCAAGTACATGTAAGTTGTTGTATTTATACCATTGGTTTTATTTACATTATATATACACATTGTAAATTAATTCTGAAAAACCCCATGGGGAGAATTAATAATAAAGTATTGTATTGTATTCTCGTTACTCACCTTGTTGATCGAGTTTCAAGAGTTGTTGTGTCTGTAAAGCGCCTTAATTCTCGATTAAATTTCTCGATTAAGGCTTCGTCGTTTGCAAAATCATCAGCCATGAAAACGGGTGTTTGAAATGCGCCATAACAATTCACGTAAAAGATCAGCTTGGATAATAAAAGGCCACATTGTTGCTTGACGCGGCACTATTCATTATTCACTATTCCGGTGTCCTCTACCCTGCCACTCACTGGATTTGTTCTCGGTTGCTCCTAGTTCAACTCCTCGGCAGCGCTCTGTAAATAGTCCACTGGTCTTTCAATGAAAGGGGGTGATGAAAATGTGTCAAATCCTCTACGTTGGTTGGCTGAAAGAAACGTAATATGATTCAATTTTATCACGCAAAGAGAGCTTCATCTCGGTTTGCGCTCCTTGTAACTTTAGCCAAGTTAGTCCCTTACAGTCTGTGTCGATACTCTTCAATCTTAAATAGTCTCATCTCCTCTCCTAATTTCATATTTCCCTTTGATTTTTTAAAAATAGTATGATTTCGGGGAGTTTTGCGTGTTACGAGAGGAATTTCAAATTGTTCAACCTATCTAAAAAAAGAAAAAAATTCAGGCGTATTAATATGACTGATGCGATTAAACCCTAAATGAATTCTACTAGAATCGAGTTTTCATTATGATAAAAGCACTTCATCACTGATGAATATTAAATGCATTTGGCATGACTGCCTT